CCTTGACAACATCAATATTTTCTCTGTTTATCATGATGTTGCTTATTGGTCCAGTTGTGAGGATTTTTGTTTTATGTTGAGGTGTAACCCATACTGATGGTTGTGGTCTTTGATCTTCATCAATAGGTGCTTCAAGTCCTCTTTGCTTTCAGCAAGCAGGGTTATGTCATCTGCATATCGCAGGTTGTTAATGAGTCTTCCTCCAACCCTGATGCCCTGTTCTTCTTCATATAGTCCAGCTTCTCAGATTATTTGCTCAGCATACAGACTGAATAATTACGGTGAAAAGGTACAACCCTGACGCACACCTTTCCTGACTTTAAACCATTCAGTATCCCCTTGTTCTGTCTGAACAACTGCCTCTTGATCTGTGTACAGGTTCCACATGAGCACAATTAAGTGTTCTGGAATTCCCATTCTTTGCAACGTTATCCATAATTTGTTATGATCCACATAGTCAAATGTCTTTGCATAGTCAATAAAACACAGGTAAACGTCTTTGTGGCATTCTCTGCTTTCAGCCAGGATCCATCTGACATCAGCAATGAAATCCCTGGTTCCATGTCCTCTTCTGAATCCAGCCTGAATTTCTGGCAGTTCCCTGTCAATATACTGCTGCAGCTGCTTTTGAAGGATCTTCAGCAAAATTTTACTTGTGCATGATATTAATGATGTTGTTCAATAATTTCCACATTCGGCTGGATCACCTTTCTTTGGAATGGCCACAAATATGGATCTCTTCCCGTCGGTCGGCTGGGTAGACGTCTTCCAAATTTCTTGGCATAGACAAGTGAGCACGTCCAGCGCTGCATATACATATACCTATATATACATACATATAATCCATACTGAAGGCTGTGGTCTTTGATCTTCATCAATAAGGGCCTCAAACCCTCTTCGCCTTCAGCATGCTAGGCTGTGCCATCTGCATATCACAGGTTGTTCATGAGTCTTCCTCTAATCCTGATGCCATGTACTTCTTCATAGAGTGCAGCTTCTCGGATATATTGGTCCAGATAATTCTCTGTGGTGGGGGCCGTCCTGTGCACTGTAGGGTGTCTAGCAGCATCCCTGGTCTCCACCCACTAGTCATTCTCTGTGGTAGGGCCGTCCTGTACACTGTAGGGTGTCTAGCAGCTTCCCTGGTCTCCACCCACTAGTCA